AATGTTATTTCTTGATAAACATTTTTCATAATGCTGAATTTTCGAAACCAAATATTCAGATCTTTTTTTCATAGGTTCTACTTATTAATTCTCAGCAAACTCTCAACAATTTACATAAATATCGATGTTTTGGTGTACAATCAGAAAATGACAGAAGGAATAGTTTGCCTTTTAAATGCACCATACATTTTCCTTGGTCAATATCGATCGTTCACCGAAATATCTGAAAGATTCACTTACATCTGGAAGAAAAGACTCAAGCTTCCTCTTCTGCTGAGTCCTGATGAAATTTAGCTAGAAAAAGGGACATTTCTAGTCAAGCTAAGCTATAAATGTTAATTTCATACCAATTCCTGTAAGTCGCCCGATCCTTTTACTTTGCATTTTTCTACTAGATTTACTAATCTATCAAGGTAATTTCTTGAAAGTTGCAACACCTAAAAAGCACTGAATGTAAGTTAACGACTCCAATACAGTTGGATACTTCATATACCTCTAAAACCTCTGTGTAGTTGTCAAGAGCAGCACCAAGAGAACCATACTGCTTTTTGAACATTGACAATGAAGTTTCTTTAGCTACAGATGTACTGCATGACATTGCTGCCGAGTATGCAGCAAAATATGAGCTATCAGCTTAAACACATTGAAATATTAGAACAAATTTTGATGCCATCGCTTCTCTAAGTAAGGATACTATACCCGAATGTGCTAACAAAGCTTCTCGCATTTGTGTAGCATTTTTGAAATGGGCAGACCATCTGAAGATTATTCCAATTAGACAGCCTGAAGACACCACGCCCAAAATTAGCACAAAGGCAGTGCCTAGAAGTGTTCTTGGTTTTCTTTTCATCCTCTAAAAATGAAAGACGATCAAAATAATAATGTCGAAATGCTCCAACATTGATGGAAAGTGCTCACTCTTCTGTATTTAGTCCATTTTGTTACAAGCCTATAGATAAAAATAGCTAACAAGATGATACCGATGAGCAAAAGGCCAAAGAAAATTAGTAAAAATACGCTCTATAAGAGACCAAATCGTTGAGATACTCAATCACAACCGCGCAGTAACTCACATTATTCCACATATGACCGGGAACGCCACTTTGAGAAGGTGCTAAGATGACCTCGAAGAGTTCCTGTAGTTCATAAGACGGTTATGTGGTTTCGACATTACCTTCGAAGCCTCTGAAAGCTTTACCTGTTTGGTTTCAAAATCTAAGTTACCAACAACTGCTTTCATCAAGCCCGCACAAAAATTGGATAAATGCCAAACATCTGGTTCGTTGTTTAACGATTTAGAAGGTGGTTCTGGGCAATTCTTCCCATCTTAACAAAAAGAACTGTAAGGATTATCTCTGCTTCCTGGTATATAGGTCAGCTTTCTTCTGATTCTCTTCTCAAGGCGAAGTAGGGGGAACAATTATAGAAAGGGGAACTGTGGGGTATGCAGGCGGAAGTGAGTTAGGTTTTTGACTTCTATAAATTTTTCTCAAAATTACAAGCAAGGACCTTTTGCAGCCATACGTTCAAAAAACCAGCTTTTTTTTTCATATAACTACCTAGATACTTAGATACTTACAAGGTAACGCTTTCTACTCGAAGTGGCCATTC